TTATGGGTGCCGGCATGCATTCACTAGTATCTTGTTTCGCTGTAAATGACAGTAATCTTGCAGTTGTGGAGGTATTTCCACGGATGCTATGACCTTGGATGCGCACGTAGCATGAAGATGCTGCGGTCAAATAGGGGGGTGTGTGGGTTACATTAGGGTCATATTGGGGTTATATTAGGGTTATACTAGGGTTATATATGAGGGTCATACTAGGGTTATATTAGGGTCATGTTAGGGTGATATTGGGGTTATGTTAGGATTATATTGGAGTTATATTAGCGTTATGATGGGGTTATATTGATTAGGGGTATATCGGGGTTATGTTGGGATTATATGAATTAGGGGTTTAGGGCTTGCGGTTTAGGGGTTGAAGGCTTTAGGGGTCTTGGGGTTGAATCGTTGAGAGGCTTAGGGTCTAGTCTACCATTGAGACCACCCAATGTTCTGCCTAAACCCTGTAAGCCCTAACCGCTATCACTGCGTGGGGGCCTAACCAGAGGTGAGGCAGATGTTGGCCTCGGGGTGTAGGATGGTTTAGAGGTTCTTGGGGAGTTCTATAGGGGGCTTCTATCAGGTAAGAACTGCAGAAGAACCGGGTAGTGGAGAATCAGTGAAATGCAAAATCAAGTGGAGAATCGAATGGAATCCATCTAGAGATTACCCCCGTGATTCTGTAGGAGTTTCAAGACACGATTTTTCAGCTTCTCCTAATTGGAGGCAGGTATTTCAAGTACTTACAACAAACTAGCAAATATGGCCAAAATAATTGAGTCTGTTTGAAATACCCTATACCAGTATTGAACAGGGAACCTAGACCACAATGGGCCCATGTACGCCGCATATGAACCTATCCTGGCGGCTAAAGCCAAGATTTTGCGGGCGGAAATCGGATACAAGAGCAATTGAAAGGCAGAGTGGTTTTCGTGCGGGGAATCCGCCTGGAAGAAAGTCAGCAGTAGCTAGTAATTTATAGTCCCCGTTAAGTAGATAGAATATTGCTTTGAGTATCTTAAAATAAGATCCCCAAATACCCCATATTCTATCTACTTAAGGGGGACTATATGACTTGAATTGAGTACGGAAGCTGCTTCAGAGCGGGAGTTCAGATCATGCTCTTACCCTCGCTCTTACTCCGTTTAAGTTATGTCTACTTTGAATCTCACATTCGAACAGATCACTTATGATTCTTAAGCCTCCCTTGTTTTGTCCGGGGGAACTGTGCAACCAAGATCACAAATTGACGGTACACCCTGCCGCAGGAATATTCATTTTCGCGGGCGAGGAGCGTAGTGTTTTAACATGCTTGAACCTCAAGTACCGGCGTAAATAAAAGCCCTGAACCCTTTCAACTCCAAACCTGCATGGGCTCGCAACCCTAAAGCCTAAACTATAAATGTACTCCCCTCCCCCTAATATAACCCCCCACCCCTACTGTTAAACACTCCCATAGTGGTATATCACAAAATATTAGGAATGTCTAAATTTTCGGGGGCAGGTGGGTTGAATTTTAGGGGGAGGGGATTACACAGAACTCAGTTGCCTTGAAGGAACTTAAATGGGGTTTCCCAAAATTAGGAGTACCGTTTTTGGGATACCTACACGGGGCCCCCTAGTTTGAGAAACTACCACTTTAGGTTACCATACCATGGGTTTGCGTATGAGAATCAAACTTTAAGCTCCTGAACAGCTACCCCAGAACCACAAACTTCTATGGGTATAGTAGGGCTTCCTTATGTTCACCTAATTTAACAGCAACCCAATAGCACAAACTTCCATGGGTACATAGTAAGTAGCAGGGTTTTCTGATGGCAGCCTAGTTGAAGTCCATTCACAATCACCAAGAACCGCCCCGCTGTCGCCTATCTGTCGTCCTTGCGATCTGACCTTACGTGCATGCCATCAGCGCATTAGTATGTAAGGTGGGATTTTCTCCAGCCAGAAGGCTTGCGCTTTGAAAAAAAGGATTCACGTTACAGCATCTGAGGCGCATGCTGCCTCCGATAAGAAACCTCCCCTATCTTTGTGGTTCAAAGGACCTACCTACTGGACTGGATTAGCAGATAGGAGCCCTACACTTGTAGTCTTCAAACCCTGCGTTCCTTGCAAAATGGCAGGCTTGAACGAAGGTGCTTGCGAAATTCTAGCTACTGGCATTTTTGTAGGTTGTAATGCTAGCCTTCCAGGCGAAACCCTAAACCTTATGAAATTTACAGCTGAACCAGGTAGTCTAAAATATCAAACCCCTGTACTTCCCTGGCTATACTTTGTAAGCCGGACACGTCTCCACTTTTGAGCTCCAAACCCTGAGCCATTAACCGTAAACCCCAGCAACAGAACTCATGCGCAAGGTTGTCAAAAAAAAAGGTCCCTTCTTGGAGTTCCGATCACAATGCGGCCAAAAAAATACAGGGTACCCAAAACGTTGCTGGACCCTGCTGTCACCCAACCTCCCCCAACATGAGGGACCCGAGCTAGGTAACATATTATACCTCCGTAATAACCCTTTGTATCACTATGACAATCCTTTAGGTACCCTAAACCCGTAAGACCCTAAACTCCAACCCATTAATAGTCCAACAAAGGGGTGGGTTTCCCAAAATTAGGGGTCCATGTTTGGGGGTCCCCTCACCAAGGTTTATATATATATATAAATACATATATAGGGGTCCCCCTAGTTTGAGAAACTACCAAAGCCGGCCCTCCTCCCCCCGAGTTCGCCGCACTTCCACGGCTGGAGGGCTTCTCCGCAGGCGGCTGACCTCAAAGGTGGGACCTTTAGGTTGGACGGGGTTTTGGAGACCTTCATGGGACTATAGTGCCTACAGATTCGTTGCGTCTGGGTCCTGCATGATTGTATATACGTATGTTCTTCATTGACCTCTTCGACCTTAACAACGTAGAACTTATGCTTTCCTTTTTGCATGCGAATCCTCTCAGTTTCATTCAAACCTTTACCGGATGCTTCCGTGCGCAGTGAGGGTGCAAGAGAGTGTAGAGTCTAGAGGGGCTGGAGGATGTAGAGGTGTGGGGTTGTAGTGTTTTTGCTATGGACTTGGGGGCTTCAGTGGTTTTAGGTCTAACTTCGGTCTGAAGGCTTAGGAGCTTCGAGAGCGGGCTTAGCTAGGAAAATGATCCAAGCACTATGTGTAGGAATGTCTGTGGTGAAAGCTATCTATGCCATAACAAGCATCAGAGGAAAAATGAGGCAAATCTTGCCGAACCGCAAGTATCGTAATTGGAATTTTGCAGAGGAAGAACCAGAAGACGACGAACCCCCGGAAGCATCAGCCGCATACGGCTACTGCTGCTGATGATGCTTCTACGAAAAGACTATGCCTACTGCAACATGTCTTGCTACTCCTCAGTCCATTGATGCTACTACTATTACTCATGCTGCTACAGCTTACTCCTATCTTACTTCTACTCCCATTCCCACGCCTGCTCCTACTCTTGCTCTGATGACAACTGCGACTACCGCCACGACCGCAAATACCATAACAGCACTGCTCAACGACGACGAAACTGACGCCTACGTCGATGGACAGTAGCAGTAAGTAGTAGAAGCACAGGATTCTCGAGCGCGACATGTACGCTTCCCTGAGCGCCTAAAATAAACTTCATCCTTTCCAGCTTGGGAAGTTGATAGGCCGGGCTCGCGGCTGGAGTACTTCCGCCAAGCGTCCATGCAGTGACTGGGCGGGTTGCGTTTTACAAGCACTCAGATCAACGCATGAAGCATGAACAACCCCAAAGCTTGAAGGGGCATTTCAGGAAAGGAGATCATGTAGGCCGATGCAACATGCAAGTTGGCTTCTTCACGCTCCATTGCGCAACCAGGAGTTTGAATCGATTGCTCTAAGTGTGACCTTGTAGGTCCATGGTCCTCTGCCAGGACTCACTAGAAACTGCTTGGCGGTCGCCCAAAGTTTGTGACCACCTTCGCCCACTCCGCCGACACCGGCATGAGCTGTGTCCAGGTGGACATGAACCGGCCTTGACTTCAAAGCAGCACTTGCTGGCAGCTTGTGCCGGTGACTCGTACGGTCTAACTCCTCCTTTGTCAACCTCGATGCAGACAGTTGGGCACCTGCGGTACGAGCAGGACGCTTCTCAGTCGGAGCATCTTCGGGCTTGTCCTTCTTTGCCGGCTCGTCGTCGCAAGAATACTGAAGCATTAAGCCATCCCCAAAGGAGCCGTCGGTGAAGGCTGCCCAGTGGACATCGGCTTTGCCTCCATTTTCCTGGGTCAGAAATGTGGTTCTTCTAGCCTAGCTTGTGCATCTCTTGTAGAGTAACATCGAGAATCCGCCAACATGAGACATCCTAACCCATACCCCTAATTAACAAGCCCCCTCCCCTTGATAGAGATTAGAATAGGGATCCTAATATTTAGGCCCTCAAAACGAGAGGGTCTATACATCATGAGTCTACCTTATCCCCAAACCTAAACCCCAAACCGTAGTTTCCATTCTATTTTCCATTATCCCCATAAAACCCAATATAACCCCTTTATTAATCATTATCCAACAGTGACCCAGTCTCACTGGGAACGATGTAGTCCACGTGGTTGTCGTCCACCTCGTTGCTGTGCACCCTCCAGTCTGAGGCTGCTTTACCTGGGTTGCTGCTAGGTTGCTATAGTAAGGGTTATAGGGTTTAGGGTTAGGGTCCTATTCTTGGCGGAATACCCATGATATGGTAACTTGAATTAAGTCCCTTAACAACAACAACTCAGCTACGGTCTGGATAGCTCTCCCCAGGCCCACATCCAAGCCAAGTCCTTAGCTCGCGGATTGTTAATTGGGAATGAAGGAACAGAAATCGAAACCATTGTATAGTGCTACGGGGTATACTAGGCTACTTTCGGGATCCACTTCTCCATTTCCTACTAACATCTAGCAAATTAGTGGGCCTATATCCTCTCAGAAGAACGCACCCGCCCTGCCTCTTGAATACTGTCCCTCTAGACAGTTGCCACAAGAGGAACAAGCAAGCCTGAAACGAACCCCAAACCTTAAACCCTATTATGCAGGCCTGGAATCATTCTTGAAAGTCTGGCTGCAAGGGCAAGTTCCAACCCAACTCGCGGTATCGAAGCCAAGTTCTGGAGGTGGCCAAGAGGCGTCACAGACACCGACACCACAACCTGCTCAGCCTCAAACGTATACTCTGCCACTGCCAGAAGTACCTGAAAATTTTGAGCCCAAATGGGGGCCCCTAAACCCCTCTTGTTCTCCCTATGCACCTAGGTCCGTAGGGCGCCCCTATTTTGAAACCTTAGATCCTACTTCCTAATCATTGATCCGCAGATCCTGGACCTTCTACATCTCTGTAGCCTTATAGCACCCTTCAAGGGTACCTTTGTGATTTGGTATCTACTTGGCAGATCTCTTGACTTGGGAAGTCTACATGTTTCTTTGGAACCTCGTACTGAGGGCCAAGCCGTGTGAAAGGAAGCTTTAAGTCAGCCTACTATTAGGGTTTAGGGTTTAGGGTTTGCGTTCCTGGGTTGTACCCCTGAGGTCGTACCCCTAAAAGGTCTCCCCAATATAGCCCTGATATAAGCCTTATATGAGCCCATGTAGTCCCCTAGAATCCCGCAACCCAAAACCCAGGGGTACAACCCTAGGGGTACAAGCCTGAAACCCTTGAATTACCATAACCCCTGCTCCTTAGTAGACTTACTAAGTCAAAAGAGCCTCCAAGTAGACAACTACCAACCGCTATGTCATCTCAGTTCATGTTATTTTCCAATTTATCCATCTGATCTTCCATCATGGGGGTTATATACCGCTATATACCCCTCAGCGTGAATCCTGAACCCTGACCCCCAGATCCCTTTTCCATCTGGGCTTGTGCACTTGCCCCTAAACCCTAAATCCTAAACCCCAAGTCCCCATACATAGTTCGCGAGGGTACCCCCTGTTTTCGGAAAGCCCCCAACCTGCTGATGGTTGGCCACGAAGTTTTCCTGAACACGAAGCGTTGGGCCTGACGCTGCTTTCCCCCAATCACCTGGGAAGATAAGGTTCATGCAGGGGGTAGATAGGGGTTAGATGGGGGCATATAGGGAAAGATAGGGCCATACGGGGCCAATATTGGGGTTACATAGAGCTACGAGGGTGATGGAGGGGTCATACAGGGGTTCAGGAGAATCAAGTGGAAAAGAACATGGAACATGACCTGGAAACTGTGGTTTCTACACCGGTTGTGTAACTTAGCTCTGACTAGCATGGAATGAAGGAAAGCAAACATAAATGAAAGCTACTCTATCAGCCACTGGGGATTGCAGAGGGACTGCTCTCAGGATCCATTCCTTCATTCCAGGCCCACGAGCGCAAAGTGAAACAATGCCCTCATGTTTCCGTTGACAGAGGACCCTGTGTATAGCCAACATGCTAGGAGTCCTGTTTGTAGGCACACCCACCACCCCAGCCCGCCCGCCCTCAAAAAAAAAGGATCCCTGATTTCAGGAAACAGCCACATGGATGGCGCAAACTTCCGGACTCATTTTAAAGTCGCCGGCTCCTATAATCGCAGCCCTTCCCCAGCCCTTAAACCCGAACCCTCAAGACACGTGATGCATGCGAGATACACGCAGCAGTCGATGACTGCAGCTGATCTAGTCCCGACACTTTCCACCTGATCCCACTGCGCAACAGATGCCGCTTAAAGGAGCTTAAAGAAAGGAGCTTAAAGAGACAGTCTATATTTTTTGCATGGTTTGCAGGGGGGTTCACTGTTTAGGGTTTTGGGTCTAATGATGTGGGCTAACCAGATGATGAGTTCTGCCGAGAGGTTTCCAACACTTGGGTGTCGCTTCAAGGGGGTTGCAAGGGCACTTGGCGACACCTTCCAGGTTCAGAATTGAAAGGGTTTAGGGTTAAGGGTTTAGGCAGCTTTAACACTACCCGCGGCAATCGGCAGTGATCAAGATCATTATGGTATTTGGCACAACTGACGTGGGAGTTTCATCAAATGTCCTTCTTATCTAGCCCCGAATACTCAAATCCCAATGGAAAGAAACTCCAAATTAAGGGGTCCGAATCATTGAAAACCCCTAACCCCCACAGAAATTCTGATACTTGCCAACCTATACATGACCATGTACAACGACCCCTGCTTGTTGTAGATGCTAAGCCCTACATGTTCCATATATACGTGTACATCACTTCTCATCCGCGTGTGCACAGTCCCCGACTTCCGGAAACCCTGAACATCATAAATCCCTATATAGCCCTATCCTTTATACCCCTATATACCCTAAACCCTAAACTATCCTAAGCACCCTAAAGCCTTAAACCCTAACACCCTAACCCAAAAAACCTAAGCAGCAACCGTATATCTCCTTACATTTTTTGCCCCTGCATACCCTTTAAAGGGACCTGTGCACTTCCCCACATGAGCTATAGTCTGAACTCCTAGTATCCCCCTTAATATCCCCTATAGTAGTCCCCAATATAATCCCCTATATATCCCCCTTTAAGGAGTTTAGACTATAGCTCACATGGCACCGGAAAAATCTGAGCAGCCGGCGAGGCAGCAAGAGACAGCAGGCCATTGGCTTCCAGGAAGTGCTTGACGATTGGAACCTCTCCGTTTTGGGGTTTTGAGGTTTTAGAGTTTAAGGTTTTAGGGCTGAGGGTTTAGGCTTTCAGGGTTTTCGGTTTTCTCAAGGTTTTAGGGTTAGGGGTGTAGGGTTTTAGGGTTTAGGGTTTTAGGGCTTTAGGGTCTAGGGCTTTAGGGTTTTAGGGTTTTAGGGTCTAGGGCTTAGGGGTTGACAGCACTCTGCTCCCTTTCTGGCCCCTCCTGTAATATGCGTCTCCAATGTTTAGGGTAACCAAAAAAACCCAACATCTTGTCAACACCCCATAGGAAGGTCCCCCAAAGTAGGGAACGCCATAGCAACACACAAGGGTGGGACTACGCGGCCCCTTCCCACATGGGGAGTTCTAACAGAAAAGCTCCCTTTTTAGGATACATCGGGCTCAGGGTCTTAAGTAGGGCGTTAGGGTGCCTCAGAGCAAAGGTGGCGTGAATGCATTGTGTTAAAGACAAAGTGACTGTAGCATACTACCTGGTTACTACAGACTGGCAGGTGGGCTGCGCATTTGCTCTCCGTTGATTTTGCTTTAGACCGTTCTGTGTTTGCCACAGCATAGACTAATACTAGTATTAGAAACAGTACAGCAAGGAGTAGCAACCATATTTCTGATTAGAAATAGTTTCCTACACTGTGCGGTCATCCGACAACCATGAAGTAACAGTCCGAGGAGACTCTGGCAGAAGTGATTAGTTGGAATATAGGTTGGGTTGTAGTATACGAGGAATTTAAAGGGACCTTAACATAATTACCACTACCCCCTGGTGGTTACTGGTAGTGGGTAGGAGCAAGCCGAACTTATTGCCATATCGCCCCATATACATGCATAACCCCAGTTTCAACTTCATTTTCCGCTCTATTTTCCATTTGGTTCACCATAATTGCAGTTCTATACCCCTGTATTACTTGAACCCTACACCTAAACCCCTAAACCCTACTATGCCCCTACTAGCCACCAACTTCCATTTCATTTTCTGTTTTTGTGCCACTTGATTATCCGTTATGGGGTTACACATCCTTATACAACCCTTGACAATGCCATATGCCTCCATACTTAGGGGTTGATGGAGCTTAGTCATGCAACCCTACTTATGACATCCTAACTGAATTTATATAGGACACCCCAGAATTAAGCAGTTACTAAGTCCCATAAAGCTGTAAGTACGGTGGATACTAGAAATCCTGCATGACCCTAAACCCTAAACCCTATTCCGCGTTATCAACAGTATGGGTGCCAAACCTGAGCTTCACTTCAACACGGGGCCTTGATGAGCCACGGCACGAAAAAGTCCGTTCCACATCGATCGTTATCCTTGCTTTGTCCATAGGGCTACACCTGCCTTTATAAGGGTGGTCGTCAAACATATGCTCCTTTTTTGGGTACCCTAACTACTAGGTGCCGTATGATAATAGGGATCCAGAAAGGGACCAACATTTTGACAACCACCCATAAATATTTGGACATTTTACAACCATGTCAGAACCTCGAATTCAGCCAATGTGAGGCGATTGTCCGTATGCACCAAACATCTGGGTTGTTCTCAGAATTATGGGCCCCTTTTGGTTATAGGTTATATTGCGGCAACTAATACTTAGCGGTACCAAAATGGGACGCTCATTTTGGGAACTGCCCAGTTGGTTTGAGGTCCTGATGGCTTGCCAAGGTTGAATAGTTGGCCTTCAGTCTTCTCCCCTCAATCAAAATGGGTGGATGGCTAAAACAGTGGTCCATTTTTCTCGTCTAAACACTGCCTCACCCTCAAATGAGTAGCGTTTCTTTTGGTGTGTTGAACCTAGTAAGATAATGTTCCTTATATAGAATACTATACCCCAAAAGGAGGATAGGATCTTACTCTATATTGGGTACCATAGTATCCCCAAATAAAATACTACTCAAATGAGCTTCAGCTTGAAGGTGATGCATACGGAGTGTTAAAGGGTCCTAAAGCCCAAGCTCTCTCGGGCCGAATGAAGGCAAACCCTGAACCCTATAAACCAAGTTATGCAACTGGAGCCTAGTTTTGCGTCATGGTTCCAAGTTCAAACATGACTCCATATCTGGCGGGCGCACCATTTGGGGAGGTGATAGCATTGTAGCCCGTAATCCAGAGTAATGCCCAAACCAGAACACAGCTGCAGCCTTTGGAAATTCTTGAAGTATTCATTTTGGTGTGTTGTTCTTTGTTCCATTCTGCCCTAAACCCTAAACCCTAAACCCTGTGTTTTCACGAGAAGGGGTCGGCTCTGTCTTTGTTCTGCTCATGTCTCTGTGCTTTCTCTGTGTCTTGCCATGTCCCTCCTGTTTTCACAACATGTGTCTTGATTCCCACCTACTTGCTCGACTCAGCACTCACCGATATAATTAGCACCTGAAAAACACAACCCCTATCTGCTTGGGATTGCCGAAGGCAGAACCGATCACAAAATTAATGGACATATTTGCCTGCAACATCCCCAATTCGTTGCAGTATTTCTGTTCTCAAGTGTAATGTAGACCCCTGGTCACCCTGAGGACTAAAAAAGCCGCTTCACGCCCTTCTCATGAATTTCCTTTTTGGGCGACTGGAGGTGATAAGTAAATGCCGGTCCCTTGCTGGACGTTTTCATCTGTTCAGGCTGGAAAAACCGTAAACCCCAACCCTACGCCCTAAAACCCTAAACTTAATACAAGGGCTCATACATCCGGAGGTTGCCGCAGTCTGTCCGCAGCTGCGCGGGTTTGTCCAGGCAGACTGGGGAAAGAACCTATAGGCCCGCAATTCAGCGCATCCGTTTTCCCAAAACCCAGGCTCACAAATGCCGTACGCATCCCCCTAGAGACGAATAGGGGAGTCTCCAATTTTTTGCCCTGAAATGTACCAAGCAACTCTTAGCCCTCACTAACCCAACCCCAAAACATGCCAGGTATATATACATGTGTATTATGTATATATATATATACACATATATACTACGAAGCACTGGTTTTATCTATACTTCGAAGCACTGGTTTATCTATACTTCTGTTGCAAAGGGACTAATGGACGTTACCTGGCTTTTTCTTAGCTCCCAGCTTCCGTTTCATTTCCATGTGGTCTCTACTGTTGGAATCTACCTGAAAGCCCATGGCACAGCATTAACATAGTTGTAGTTAACAATAATGACGACTGTTTTTACATGCTAGTAGCAGTACCACTTTTTCAAGTACTAGTACTGTTGCTCTTTGTAGAACCCCACCAGCCAGACCATTTCATGTGCCTTTCTTATTACCCTAACCATTTTTATATCTCCCTACACGCAAAATCCTACACCCCAAGCTCTAAACTAATAGCCTGCGTTTTCTTTTCCTTTCCCTACACCCTATCACATCACTGTAAGTCTAGATATCCTTACATCCCCCTAGACCCTTCATACATTCCACTATACATCCCTA